GACATATGAACACAGAAGGACAATCTTGGCACAAGAGAAGCGAGCACTCCGTAAAGCCAGAGCTGCAAATGCTGAAGCAATAGTGTCCACATTTCTCTGTTCAGTATGTGGCAGAACATTCCGTGCTAACATCGGTCTCATCAGCCATCTACGGACACACCGCTGATGGCCCATAATCCATAAGATGTCAAAGTCTTCACCAAAATCTATGGACAAACAACAACAACAACACTGCCCTCCATGGCTATTTAGGCTTAGGCTGGAGGAAAAGTTGAATGACGCTTATGAGGCTCCTTCTTGTGCTTCACTGTGCTAAGGAGTAATGGGGAACCTGCCTCCTGCATCATCTTGTGGCTCGCCTTAGCTCCTGTAACTTTTTAGCTAAGCAGCATTGTGGGTAGATAAAACTGTTGCTGTAAGCATTCATCTAAATTCATCCCACTTAGGGAGAGATGGTTTTCCCATCTGCAGTTGGTACTTTTTGACAACAAAATTGCCTTTCCCTTGGGTAGCCTACAGTAAGTATATAAGAACAGCATCATTCAGCAGGTGTATCGCTGTGGCAGAATAGGGATCATCTGTGAAGGACAGCATAGTTTATGCCAGCATGACTCTTAATTGCATAAGACTAACAGAGCTATAGCCATAGCAATATATTAGTGCACAATGAATATACATCAAATCGGAGATTTGTCAATTTTTGGCTTTTTCCAGATGTACTACCACTTGGCCTCAGTAGGCCAAACTTGAGGATGACCCTGTATTGAAGCTTAATTTTCAGTATAAGGTGAAAATTGCCTGTTGCACTACATAGGTGTGGCTATTATGGAAATTAAACACATATTTGTATCATATTCTGGATATTTATTTTCATCTTACACTCTTATTTAACAGGATCTAGAAAATCTGTTAACTGAAAAACTTGAAAAAGATATGAACACTGAGGCACAATTAATAAACATGATACAATCTTTTTAAAGTGAACACATTGCCCTGAATAAACCATAACACATTTGATTGTCATTTTCAGAAGAAAATATGCCCTTGGCTTCTTAACTCCTTTAAAGACCTAAAATATCATTAAAACAATTTATTATTCATTCATTTGTTATATTCTTGGAGAAATAAAAACAGTTGTACCTGAAATTCCCAATAAATTTGTCATACAGCTATTGACTAGTCTCAAACTGTAGTTACAATAGTACTTCTTCAATTGCTTTAAACAAAATTTCCACCCAAAAGACCATAAAACCAATTTATGGGCAGCCATGTTAAATCATTCATGTAACTGTGCATGCATGTTTTTCTTTGAATCCATCTATCCAAGGACAGAAGTAAGCAAGCTGTGTCTGTCAAGATGTTTTTAAACAGCAACCTTCATTAGCTGTCTCGTTGGCTGGTGCTTCTGGATGTTGTTAGCAGGTGTTGTACAAGAATATCTGGAGAACCATAGGTTACCTGCCCAATAAGAGTCTTTCCTGAGTCTACTCATTCCCCTCTATGGGTAGACTTCACATATCATATAAAGCATTTTCTCTTTATATATGAAAGATCTAAAATTTTATCCTTGGCATCACCAAGAAGGACTTGGGAAAAAAAACACTGGCAAGCTACTGCTAGTCAAGGTCAATAATATAGGCTGGATGGCTCATTATCAGCTTGTTATGTTCCTATACAACAGTTTATGTACTGTACAGAATAAATATATTCCCATTTAGTTGGTCATTACCTGAAGCAGAATGTTGCATAATACATTGAACTAATTATTCAAATAAACATTTATATGTTTTGCATACAGAAGATTCCACATTCACATCTTGCCCTTTCTAAAAAGACCATATGATAGAAAAACTTAGTAAGTAATAGGCCTTAGTAAGTAATATTGACTAGAAGTTGTCAGAAGTAGAGATAGCATTTTTCCTATCAAGAGCTGCAGAGGCAACCTCCTGAGTAACTTCAAGGAACTGGTGTCACAAGAGACACTGAACTCTCCCTAGCCTCCAATCCCTTTTTACTCCCGATACTCTTTTCTTTCTTAAGTGGCAGTCTGGAGGAATTGACTGAAAGTTGACATCATAATCTGAATTGATCTCTTGCACTGCACTTTGAAATTAGGTCTAGTGCTATGCATGATTGTTAAGGCAATAAGTCATCTAGACCCTATAAATGAACAAAGGGCCTGCTCTGGCAGTGGGCAATGTTCACAGTACCATATTGGAACTCAAGGAACTATAAATGTCCCCCTCCTCAATAAATAGCAATGGTAGATCTGAAATAATTTCTTCATGAGTAAACAGAAATAGCAGGTTGGGGATATTGTGTGTCTACTGTAGGTAAGATCACTATCACTTCTCTAGCTACACTAAACTAAAAATACTGCTTTCCTCTTAAGTCATCAACTATTACTTCTTTATGTCCATCTGCCCTCTTGCAGTTTTCTACCATAGCCAATATCTTTTTGAGTCGCCGATCCAGTGCTTCTAGATGAGCCTCTGATAAGACTGGAGACAGGGGATCTGAGGCTAATGATTCACGCATGACATCACTTAAACGATAAGGCTCAGTAGCAAGCAGTTGCAGCCGCAGGAAAGTTGACTTTTTAATACTGGAGACAGTAACAACAAGGAAAAAAAATATACATAGAAGAGAGAGAAAATATCATATTTAGTATTTCTATCAATGCAATTTAATTAAAATAAATATATATGGACTTGAAATACCAGTATGAATCAGGACAGTAATGAGAAGTCTTAGAACTATCAAGATGAAAAATATTTATAACAATTATGGAATTCAGTAAAGTAATGTAATTTCTGCACTGATTGCTAAGCTTGATAATAATTTTCTGCTATAGGTATTTGGGAAAAATCCATTCCTTATTATGACTTAACTGAATCAACCTTAATTTGGTGCTGTTTACAAAAGGTTCCCTGGTTCAGATTACAAACAAATGCATCCTCCTGTAGATTTAGAGTGGAAGTAGTTTGGCAGGCATTTTTCTACCCAGAGCATGTGCATTTTAACAGATTTCTGCCAGAAACATGGTTACATGCTCCTTTACATTCTGAATTGCCCTACGTCCAAATGTGTCAATTGGGACCTGCCATCAGTTTCAGATAATTCATACTTCAGAATTGGAAAGAGAGCTGGTTCATGGAACTACAGAACTGGGTAAAAGACAAAACTTGACTTTCAAAATTAATCTACGCATTAAGCCACCTTGCCCAATATGCAGCTCTTTAGATATATTAATCTTCAGCTTTTATAAGAGGATTTGAGGTTCACTCAGAAGTAAATACACAAATGTCACATCCTACGTACCATTGGATATTCCAACCTCTGATAATTTTCTTTTTTAACCTACATTCTGAGATGAATTAGATTTAGTATTTTCTAAATATGATTGTCATGTTGGGTGAAAATTATGGAGGTTATAGCCCAATATCTCTTGAGGACATTCTCTTTGAGAAAGACTGAATTAGGCCACCAGGGCCACAATATGATAGTTAATTGAGTACTAAATGTAGTTAATGGGCATGCCTTTTGTTATGTAAACAGTATCCAAATTGTTGGATATGAGATGGGTGGCAAATAAATCTCATAATTAAATAAAGAAGTTTGAGCAGTCTCAGCAGTAGTGGACTAGTGGTGAGAAACAGTTCAACAGAAATCACACCAGCTCCCACCGTACAATCTCCTGTTCTCCTGAACAAACTAAACAGAGGAGGATTTGGATGTGTGATGTCCTCCTACTACAAACACAGCACTTCTGAGAGGGCACCTTGACAATCTCATTTATGAGCAAGATCAGTTTTTCATTGCAGAAAACTGGACCTTTCTTAAACTATCCTAAATTATATTACCCTGGCAAGGGCAAATTTTGAGGGGCAAAAAAATTGTCCTTACATGCAGCACTGCCGAAGAGGAGTCAGAATAGACATTTCATCATGAGAATGTCTCCCAAACCTAAAAACAAGAACAAAAATAACAGATTAGGGCATAATTTGGGGGAGGAGTGATGCTATCCATTACAATTTCCCTGCTTTCACAAGAGAGAAGGTGGCATAAAACTGCATTCTATTCTTTAATTTTATCCCCACAACAATACTGAGGTATGCTGGACTAAAACTGAATAATCCTGTTACTTGAGAACTTGGATCTGGATTTCCCAGTCTAGTCCAACAGACTAATCAGTATATGATATGGGCTCATCTCAAGGGATTATTGTACACATTTCAAATGCTGCCACTGAAATAAAATGTGAAAATAAGGCACAGCTGGATAATGTAGCTATCTTATTCTATTACTAAGAAGAAAGAAATTATCCAGAGGCAAAACATGGTACAGTTGGTAGGAATTATTCTAACTATACTGCTTGTAGTGTTACATTTTATATAACATTACCTTTCTGTTAAATTTTAGAATAGTATTATCACTATAGTCTTAAAGTAAATTATAATTCTCCTTCTCATGTGTAAATAGTGCCAGTAGATAAGTATTCCTTTGCATTCAAATAATACTTGCCAAGTGCTGAGACTGCAGAGACTAGTTCACTGGATTCTAGCACAAGAGTACATTGCAACTGGCGCTTCCTTGTTCGAAATCCTTAACTTGTAAACTCTTGCTTTCAAAGACTATCCCACAATGGGAGGGGGGTTATTTGAATTAGTGCAGTACTGAGATAACCTTGGGGAAGGTTGGGCTGAGGTTAGCCCTGTTTTCAAAGATGCAGATCATTATATGTCAGAGTTCAAAAGCCTTCCAAAATCTCTTGCCCACCCTTAAGAAGATAGCAGCACTTTCTCACCCTCTGCCATTGTCCAGGTGAAGATAAAAAGTGTGGTTACTAAACTTTTCAAATGTCTCATAGTGATGCCTGTCCATATTTCCTGCAGTTAAAGAAAAAGCAGTGGAAGAAAATGTGTCACCAAAATTTGCCCATACCTGAACTATAAGGCCAAAAGTATACAGTACATTTGTTCTTTGAAAAATATGGATGCCAACTGTCACTCAGTTCTGTTTCTGACATGAATCTGTTCACACAGAGAATTGTCTTGAGAGTGACCAGGTTCTGAGGTGGCCATTAGAATATATAATATTGGAGTACACACATACACTGCTCTTCTGCCACTATCAGAAGTGTCAGAGTCTACATAGCTACCACGTAAACACAGGAATAGGTGTGATTTCTTCAATAAGTTACCAGTAGGTACAACAATATACAACATATATTTTGCTTAATGAATTGGAGCCCAAGATACAATTTCAAGCCTAACTTGGAGATAGCCAGCAAATAAATGCTAGAACAGGATGCTACCCATTACTGCACAAACATCACAAATGCACAGCTTTTGAGCAGATGCTAAGAACCACACCCCAAAATTGGGCAGGATAAATGTTTAGTTTAATTTTATCTTTTCATACTTAAAATTATAAGCTATGATGGCAAAACACAATGTCTGTACTTAATAATATATAAACTAAGTGCATGATGGAGTCCACATATCTACAAAAGATAATGTGCTTTCACCAAATATACTTTATTCTGCAAGATATAAAGAATATGGATTTTCCAAAGCCAAAGGTCATGTAGTATATAACCTGATTTATAGGGTGGGAGAGTGAATGTGTATGTGTATTCAAATAAATCCTTTTTTCTAAGCCTCTAACTGAGGAACATCACCAAGCTAGATTATCAGTATTTGAATAGATTATATTATCTTTTAAGATGTTATGTTTGTGCTTCTGCTGCCCGCTAATCAAATAGGTTAGTCTGATTGGTCAGTTAAACATTGTAATAACAATACATAATAAGCAGCTGCATTTTTGGATCAAAAATTGGGAATAGATGGGGTAACCAATCCTCTAAATCAGGGGTGTCAAACTGCCGGCCCGTGGGCTGGTTGCATCATCCGGAGGCCGCGCCCACCCCAGCTCCAGCAATGCGAGAAAAGTCTAAATATGTCGCGACACGTCACGTGACACAGTGAGTTTGATACCCATGCTCTAAATGCTTATACTGTATATTTCTATTGTTAAAATATGGGATATAGGGTATGAATATGAAAATATGCAGTGCTTCCACTAGAGGGTATAGTGAAACATGTTTGCTATTATAAGCCATAAAATAAACATTGCATGTTGAGCAGTATTTTGAATATGGGAGTTTTTAGCTAGCCACATTTTATCTGAATTTTTCTTACATGTATCCTGAAAACAATCAGCAAAGGTTTAAGTTTTGTTTCTATGTAAGTCTGAAAGGTGAGACTTCGTTTGCATATTAACCTGAAGCTGAGGAAAAGAGCAAAAATAAGTTACACTTTTGTGCTCTACAACATGGACAGTTTATCAAACCTGGAGAGCCATTGGCAATTGGTTGGACAGAACAGGGCTAAATCGGGCAACAATAGGCTTTGGTAAAAGGTGAATATAAGGCCCTTCAGTGAACTTTCTGAAATTATTCAGAAATTTATTTAAGATGCAGGCTTCTAAATTCCTTATTGTGACCAGTTTTAACTGGCATGAATTTAGTTCTTCTGAAGTGGGATAAATAACTGAGAAAACGAATATCCCCTTATGGAATAGTAAGGCACTGCTAAAAAAAACCAGGCCAAAACAAGGGACTCTGAGAAATGTTACAGAAGGAGCTTTTGTTTTCTTGTGAATTTCAGCACAATGTATTGCCAATGAAAGCCTATTCTAGAGAAGCTGGTGGGCAGCCAGTTTTACACAGACAGATCCTTTGTTTTATAAGATGCAGCGGGTCTTATGTTTAAGAAACTCTAGCATCCCAGTCTCCCTCCTACAAGCTGAGCTGAAACATCTGCAGTGGAAATGCCAGACAGAGACTGAACCAGAGGCATGATCTGGGGCCTTCTGCTCCTGCCTTTTGCTACCACTGATCCAGGTCTCTTGTCCCCAATATAAATTCATTAACTTACTCACCCATGAGAAAATCAAGCATGGTCATGTCAATGAGACTCAGAAGTCGGGCCGTGTTGTCATAGGGTGGTGTCTTTCGAACCTGAGCACAGTAATTTTCATTCAGTTCCCACCTGGGAAAAGTCAGCCATTGTGAAATATTATCTGCTAAACTTTTCTGCTAAACTTATCTGCTAAACTTTTCTGCTAAACTTATCTGCTAAACTTTTCTGCTAAACTTATCTGCTAATGTCTCTGTTCCAAAAGGCCTTAAAAATTCATTGCTTTGGACAGGCTTCTAATGGACGATCATTTACAGTAGTTCATTTTTAGTATTCTATCCATTTATCCAGTTTTCTCTCCCTGTTAGAATTCTAAACCACCACTGTTCTACACTTTCCGGTGGCATTTAAGAATATTTACCAACATAAAATACCTACGGTATGTTTTCAGATATAATTAAATTATTCTTCATTTTAATTTTATTTTTGTCTTTCTGTTTTAAACTGCTGGGGTGTATTGGTAAACAGTAGTACATGAAATCTTAATAGCAATAATGAATACATCTCATATTGGGAAAAAGAAGCAGCTTTGGTTGAACTCCTTCCTCACGTCACCTTACCCATTTTGTCATTTTGCAAATGTATGTTGTATGGGTACGGAGATTCTTTTGAGTTTGTTTGCATGATGCTGCAGTTACTTAAGCAAATACTTTGCTGTGTGAGCTGAACAGCAAATGACTCTTCTCTCTTTTTTCTCTCATGCAGATGCATATTAAGTGATGACACACAAATCAGAAATCTCTGAAGCATCTTTTCCTCTTTCTGCCAGTAAAATTACCATGAGAATAAGTCGCACAATAAAATTCTACTCCCTTTTCAATGTGCTGGCACTTCTCATTGCTTATAGGGTGAACCTTGATCCTGAGACCTTAAGAAAAGCAACAGAAATAGAGAAAGTGGCATGCTTTCTCTGAAATACAATATATTTTTGTGACATGAGTCTTTTCCAGCAGTATGAAGCAGTATATCTCAACCTCTTAAAAGAAGATATTAATTCCCTCTTCTTCATTTCCAGAAGATAGTGTCAAACAGGTGACAAATCAGAATTTATTCACACTATGGTAAATGGGAGAATATATGTTTCTGTTGATATCCATCTTCTGTCATGGTTATATGTTTACATTTTTTATTTTAGATTTCTGAATCTTTTTTAATATTGTATCTGAAGTTCAATATGTTTATATGTAGAAAAAATATAAAAAGCTATTTCCATTAGTTACTTGAGGCCCATACTAATCTTTTTTAAACAGAATCAGGTTCTCCAAATCACTAGTGATGAAGGAGCCATTGACTATTCTGCAGGTTTGGTGTTCTTTGTTCTCTTACCAGACTTTTCTTGTGGGCCTATGTGAGCATAAAAGCAAGGGGAATAAAAACAGTAAAACAGATGCAAAACAAATACGAGAAGGTAAAATAGTGATATCCAAATTGATGGGCTGATGGATACACTTTCATGGTTTGTACAGATTCTTTTATGTTTAGACTACATGCCTCACTTTCTCCTTTCTTTGACTGTCCTATTTCTCCAACCATTTCATTTGTCTCCACTCTATCTAGAATTTTCTTTTTGCCTATTAAATCTTTTTTTTAAACTGTACTGGCTTTTCTTTTCTCCTTTTGGATACTCACTCAGCTTTCTTGATCTTGGAATAGGAACGCCTCCAGGGACTCCGCCAAGACTGGCGTTCAGCTATCTCTTTGTCAGGCAACAAGGCTGCCATAGATCCCTCAAGCTGGTCAGGTTTGCCACACAAAGCATGTTCAGTAGAGCAATAGTAGGAGCACTCGCCAAAGAAACAGATGTTGCCAGCTGGTTGATCCAGGCAAAATGGAGGGAAGCAAAAGTTAGGGAACTGCAACACAGAGACATTTTTTCTATGATAGATCATGCCACCACCTGCCTTAAACAGATTTGAAGAGAGAAGGGAATAGTTTAAATTCCTGTCAGAGTTAATCTGTCTTTGCCTTCTCTAACTTGTTGCGTTTATTACAATGCAGTAATTGTAGGCGCCACACTAAATCTAGAGGCCAGTTTATTGGGAAAGATTTATACAATTACCTCCATAAATTTAAAGACACAATCATTCATTGTTTCCAAAGTTGGTGTCAAGAATGGGACAGGGAGATACGCACCTGGGGAGATGAAAAACGTTTTAAACAGTTTCTTATCTGTTGTAATGTCACGGATTTCGTTGCTTATGTTCACCAACCGTCCAGAAACTGGAGGAATTCTTCTAAAGTCCAGGATCCTGCATAGAAAAGGCAAATACAGCAGAAAAGTTTGAATAAAGAACAGACAGCTTAGCCTATACATTTATCATAAAGCCTACAATCAAACAATATCAATTAACTTTTTTCTAATAGTTGCATTAGCTATCACATTATGATGTGGGCCTCAAGCCTTGACCTGAGGTTTGCCTTCTAGCTTAGCAAACTGCTATGGACTGGATGCATTGAAGGGTATCTTGAATTACCTTCTGCCCCTTTATGGAACTCTTGGTGGAGGATTCCTTGATGGATTGCCTCTTACTTTGTGAGGTTTGGATTGTAACCACAATGCTCTGAATGAATTAGAACCCTCATCTAAATTTCTTATGATGCTCTGTTGCTCTGAAATTTAATTGGGGCTTCCCAGCTGGTTAGTGAGACCTGGGGCAAAGGTGTGGTAAATCCTGCTAGATGTTGGATTGTACCTCTCAAGGATAGTTTTTACTGATGCTAATCTGAACCCAGTGATGGCTAAGCTTTAAAATGGCCAGGCCCCATATAAACATGAAATGCTTAGTCAGGTATGCAATACCTTCTGTCACAACCAGAACCCTGGATACCCCAAGCAGAGGTAGAGTTTCAGAATGGCTACCAATAATTTTGTCATGGTCTCAACACACTAACTCAAATGATGAAAACTTGTGGCCTTCTAGAAGTTCTAGGATTCCTGTTTCCTTTAAGTAAACATCCTGTATTCAGATTTATTTCCCCACAAAATCTAAAAGGGTATAGATTATCCAACCCTGTTCTATAACTTGTTGTATGCCTGGATCTTATATCAGCTGAAATCACTATTTTGATTGATTATGTGCCTTTAAGTCATTTTCATCTCCTAGCAATCACATAAATAGATTTTCTCCATGATCTGTCCTAATCTAGTCTTCCAAGTTTTCCAACACTGCAGTCATTGCCATTGTAACTGAATCCACCACCTTGCTGCTATCACCTTCTTCTTCTCCTCTTTCCTTTCACTTTTCCCAGAATTAGACCCTTCTCCAGAAATCCAGTTTTTCACATACAGTAATATGTCCAAAGTAAGATAATTTGAGTCTGGTCATTTGATCCTTGAGTGAGAACACTTGCTTGATCTGTTCAGTGATCCATTGATGTCCATGTTATTTTCAGGTGTCTTCTCAAACATCAGCATTTTAAAGCATCAGGCTGGTTATATTGTTATTTTTATTATGATGCATATCTCACCATTCTTTCTGCTCACATTCAGGGCAGGAAGTTGTTGTCTACTAGCTCAGCCTTACCTACTCTGATAACAACAGCTCGAAAGAGTCTAAGTAGAGTTATTTCCCTGTACTACTGGGATTATTTTGCAACAGAAAATGCCAAAAGCCGAGTCTATCTACAGACAAACAGTATATTCTATGATTAAACTATGGTATTTTTTTTTACTAACACCTCTTGAAAACAGAGCATAGATGTATTTTGAACAAGAGAATTAGACTGAACTTACCTGTCCAAGTGGAAAGCTGCTATTTCTGCATTGTGCCGCTCAAAGTCTGAAAAGTAAAAGAAGTCTGCTGAAGTCTCCTGGTCTCGGGTTTGCCTAGGAAGGCAGAGAGAAGAGTAGAATGGGATTATCAGAAACAAGTTTCCCCAAGGTGTACTTCATCCAGCTCTCAGAATTCCCCAACAGTTTGGCATTACTGAGAATTCTGGGAAGATGTCAACATTTGGCAGATGCTCATATAGAAATTGTCAGAAAAATAAGTGTCTTGTGGCTGAAGTCAAAGCCGCATCTCCTTTCACCTGGGAGATCATTGTGCACATGAGATAAGAATGTGCAAGGTTCTTACAGCAAGTCAGATTTGCACCCATCATTGTGGTATTTTATAGCAGTAGTAACTCTTGTGACTGCAAGTAGTGATATTTTGTCAGTCTATCTGGAGATGTTGGAGACATTTTGCATGCATGCTCTGCAGAGCTACAATCTTTCAGCTGAATCTGTTCAAACAAACTAGCATCCAATTGATGCCGTTCAATTTTACCACTTTAAAGTATTTTTCTCAGTTCAAGCCTTTCCAAGAATTACAATGTTCATTATTTCCGAATGGGAAATCTTGGGATTGTGAATTCCAGTTTGAAAAACAACTAAGAACTTCAATTTAAACCTTTCACCAGCAGAGGTCGCACATCTCCATCAAAACCGGACTCTATTGATGAGGGCTGCAGTAGCTACAACTGCGCTAGGGTGGTAATAACGATAACTATTTTTTACTATTATAGCGCCATATGTAACCATCTTGTGGTATAAAATTTCAGAGCAATTTTAAGGATATTTCTATTAAATATTCAGTGCAATCAATCTGAACACTCATGAATAAGGCACTAATTTGGGGAAAGCAGGCATATTGATAGGGAACAGAAGTGCAAAATTGCTGTTGTTTTGCTAGGGTACAGGAATTACAACACGCTTTAAAGGGTTGTGAATGTTTTTTTTTTCTGGAGCTTTGAATATTTTTTGGTTCTAATTCTAATTAAAATATGACACTGCCTGCTAGTATTTTGAGTTATTTTCCTAGATGTTCCCAATACAATGAGAACCTGCCCATTTTTGAAAGAACACTTAAATTCCATCTTTAACTTGTAATCAGATTTGCAGATGTTAATGATTTATTATACTATTCCTGTCTAATTTTATTATCTCTGTGGCCATGACCTTTTTTCTGCAGATGAAACCCCATGAAAAATCCAGAGCAAGTCAATCCATTTCTGTTTCAATGCCAGCCTTATAAAATATACTACATGGAATATAGAAACAGACTGTCCCAGCAAAGGGGTACATGTATTATTTAGTTTTATTCCCTTTTGCCAAAAAATCAATATGGAGGCATCCTTGTAGTCAGCAGAAGATGTACTTGAGTTTTATATTTTGATGCTTACAGTTAAGTTGCTTCTGATGCAAGCTCAAAATTTACGTGAGAATTTTTATAAAATGTTTTATAGATGGCACTTGGATCCTTCAACTATGTCTCGTATTTATGTGAATTATGAATCCAAGTGTTGGAGGTGTGGACATCCAGATGCAACTTTTTTTCATATGTGGTGGACCTGTAAGGTTATTAAGGCCTTTTGGATACAATTGTGGTGGAACCTACAGCAAATCTTTAAAAAAAGGATTATTTTTCTCCCACAGCTGTTTCTCTTAGGTATTGTGCAAGATTTAGATGCAAAAGAAATAAATTTGATGCTTTACTGTATAACTGCAGCCCGTTTGCTGATAGCCCAAAATTGGAAGAGCCCAATTCTGCCTACAATGGAAGACTGGAGATTGAAAGTTTCGTATCTTGCTGAAATGGCAAAGATTTCGGGTTATTTGAAGAACTACTCGAATGAACAATTTTTATTAATATGGAGAAGATGGATTGTTTATATTCAAAAGAAGCATAGAGTGGTAGAATATAATCTAGGTTTTTAGATTTTCTTATTTTGTTTACTCTTTCTATCTTTTCATGTAGATTAAGATATTTTGTGGAGTTAGAGATATTAGTATTTGTTTACTTATATATGAATATTATCCTGGGATTAGGTTTGGGAAGTCCGGGGGGGGCGGGGGGGTTTTCTTGTTATTGTGTATTTATGTTTATGATTGTTTTTTTTCATGATGGAAAATAATAAAACTTCTTTGGAAAAAAAAAAGTTGCTTCTGATAGAATTATTGCATAGGTGTGTTTAGAAATACAGCCAATGGTACAAACTTCTTTTTCACTTGGGATACAGATGCCAATGCCAGGATTACCTTATCAGCTTGCTATACAAAGATGCTTTAACTATCAATTAATTTTCAAAGTACAGGTTTAATGTAAACCCATCAAGGATCGGTGCAATGCATGAAAAGATGCTTAGGGTCAGAATATTAATAAAGAGAACTCAGACTGAAATTCCCGAATTTTCAGCTAACAGCCTTTGGAATTGCACTCTCAGCATATCCAAACAAACCATTTTGGAGGAGATCACAATTAATGTATCAAGATGCCTTACTTCATAGGTTTGAAGAGAGCTTGGCCATGATTGGGAAAAGTCATGATAAGCTTCAGTTGAGTTCCTCCAGGCTTCTGGACTGAAATGACATTAACAAGCATTAGACTCATGAAGAGATTCAGATTGCTATATTTTTCATTTTATAGAAGAGAGTAAAACGATCCATTTATCTTATTCATTCAAAAAGAAGGATACCTCCTTGAAAAGTGTTTGTTGAATAAAAATCATGATCCTATACATGGTACAAGGTAAGCTTCTTTCTCAAACTTTTACTGTTTCATATCAAATTTCATCCTAAATATGATGTCTACCAAACTGGGTTTTGTGACCAATGGCTGTAGTGGTTTTATTACCACTTAGAGATTGCTTATCCTCTGTATGTGGTTCTGCAGTAATTTAATAATTGACCCCTAAATTTAATTTTTGATCTGACCACCTATTGTGCTAGGTCCTCTTATAGATATAACATCCAATAATTATTTAATACAAGTGTTTTTATGTTCTTCATTAGCTTCAAGTTTTTTATGCATTTTAGATTCAAAATCAAATTATTATTTCCCCAATCTTCAGCTTTCAGTATTTTTCTGTTAGAATTATTATAACAGAATACAGAGTATGTATACTATATATTATAATATGCTTTTCCACATGTTAAAGAGTAGCTATAGCTATCAAGCTGTTTAGCTCTGCTGTCATGTATGTCATGTGTGTATTTAAATTTAAAAAAATATTAAAAATAACAAAGAGAGAAACCTGGCTGTCTTTGTTTACACTGAGGATCTTGGCAAACTCCTGGTATGGGGGATGTAATTAATGAGCTTATCTGGTTCCCAAATTTCACTTTTGCAAATAAAATAGCCCAGAAACAAACTGCCAAACGTGAAGAGTTCATTTTCCCAGCAGGTGAAGGAGGAGGGGAGAAGATAAGATGTCAGGTTGCTTTAACACATCTAAATAAAACATTCAGTAAAACAAATAAACAGGGAAATCTAATCTGTTCAAGATATCATTACTTTGTACCCTTGGATTTCAGGCAAAATTTGTTAACAAAAAGTGTGGCTGTGGGCTACAAAAAGATAGTCCCTATCTTGGTTGGTTAATAAGTAGCTCATATGCAGAAGAGACCTCTCCCTGTTCTAGCACTCTTCTCTGTAGATGGTTTAACTGGGTTTATACTGAACTAAAGAAAGGAAACACTAGAAAAGCAAACACTAGAAAAGAGAAAACAGGATGAGGAAACAAACAATGAGTTAGTTGGAGCATCTGAAATGCTATGTAGTACCTGAACTGATAATTTTCTGTTTGGCCAAATCCTTCATCAAGTCATGGCGAGAGGGATCATGGCGGGCATACAGTTCATAGCGATTGATTCCAGCATAAAAGCTGAGCCAAGCAGGGTGAGCACTGTGGTTCTGAAGGCCTTCTGCACTGTTGCTTCTGATTCTGCAGATCCAACACACAAAAATCAAGCACTCTATTAAGTTATTATTACATCCTATATATGAATACTGAATTTACACACTGAGTTACAAGCAAAGCAAAGCTACAGTTTAAAGATATCAACATATTAACGCTATCCTGAATTATCTAGAAGTAACCCCTCCCCCAACATTATGAGAGCCTAGGTTTTTAAGAATAACTCAATGCATATGAAAGCCAACACCAGCTAAAGAACTGGCAGCCGTGACTTCACAGTTTTTGAACAAATAACAATAATAATTAAAGCTGACACATAAATAACAATAATAAAGCTGACATATAATATTCCAGACTTAGCAACTGTGGATAAGAAAGACAACAAAGTCCAGATAAGAGATGTGGCCCGCAAGCAAGTATTTTGTCTGGAATGCAACTTGCCTGCAAGGAAAAACCAATGGAACAACAACAACAACAACAACAAAATAGACATAGTAATAGAACATGAAGAAGCTAAAGTGCTCTGGGACTTTAGAATTCAAATAGACAAGCATTTATTTGTTTGTTTCCTGTCTTGATTATTTTTATCAATAATTCAAGTAGTGGACATTCCTAATATGTCTTCCTCTTATCTTTCCCAGAACAACATCTGGAGACAGCAGAACAGAAGAGAAAGAAAGAGGTGAAGAAGCTTCTTGGATGAGAAGCGAAATGTCTTCAAAGAAAAACAAGCAAGTCCTGTTGCCTCGCGAAAAAGCATCTTTTGGAGAAGAGAAAGAACTATACAAAAATCACAAAATATAAAGACCTGCAAATAGTAGAACAACTGCAGCAAATGAAAGAAAAAACAATACCAATAGTAATTGGTGCCTTGGATACAAATCCAAAACATCTGGAGCACCACTCAAACAACATTGGCATTAATCAAATCATCATCAGTCAATTGCAAAAGGCAGTTTTGCTTAGAACAGTTTACATCATGTAATGATACTTCAATATTATTAAACAATAAAATTTGCCTATTCCAGGTTCTTGGGAAAGCCTTGATAGATAGACAAAAATGCCAGATCCAGGCTAAACATCTGGCTGACTGCAACCAGCCATAGTAATAATGTAGAATGAAGGGTCTAAACATTAGAATTGGAGTGATGGCCCATTTTAAAACCTAGTTCCATGGCCTAGCTTTCTGATTTCATTTTCTATTACAACCAGTCTTAAACCAGTATCTGGTTTATATAGTGCAGCCACATCCCACCGTTTCTACTGTAGAAGAGATAATCCTGTGCATTTGCATGTGCAGCTATATATTTGTATAGATAACTATGGTTGATGGAATCTCAGTTCTGGCCAGCATGCTGTATGTGGCCCCCTTTTTATAGCAACTACATTCATTTATTTGTTTGGATTATACTTTTTTAATTAAAAAATGAAATACTTTAGAAAACATTTGTATGTCAGTTTGGGTGGCATGTACATCAGGGAATGTAGCTATGGTAGTACAGACCAAGCTAGGGATGTCAGTGGATAGTATTTAATAGATGAGAGCTACAAAGGATGGGATAATGATGGAAATGAGCAAAATCATATCACAAAAGGGTGGAGTTTGGGGCTGTTTTTCCAGAGGAGAAAATACATACATACATACATACATACATACATACATACATACATACATACATACATACATACTTTTTTCTTCTAGTTTGTACTTTTCACATCAAATAGCACTGCTGTGTTTAGCAATGATGCTGTGTAGTGAAAAAATAAGGCTCAGCAGATCCTGCTGTAAGCAAATACATCATAAGTAGCATCATAATTGTCTATTAGAAAATTAATAGAGAAAAGAACTGGAAAGAGAGGAGAAGTGCAAGGATGTTGATTCATTCTGAATACAGAGGGGCATTTGGAAATCAGCATAATATACAGTGGTAAATTATAATAATATGATCACAACAACCTGTGGAAAATACTTCCCTCTGAATCTGGATCCTGGCATACATGCTTTCAGTACTGATTTTATATATTGTTCTTTGACGTTGTTATACAGGACTTAGGAAGTACTCATGGTATAAGAGCATTTCAGCTAGGATTACAATTCTTTCCATAATAGGTGGGCATTCTTATTTCAACAATGGCATAAAAGGGAGAAAGTGGGTCATGATAGGAGATTGTATGACAGAACTTCATCTGAATAAAAGGGCAACAATCAGTGATCTTCCCACCATCTCTTCCTCTTTCTCTCTCTCTTAGTCACACGTTCACTTAGCAACCATTTCACTTTATGACAAAGTTGCTTGAACTGATTACGATCACTAATGAGGAGAAGGTGATACTATATCACATGGGAGGTTATGCCTCAGGGAGGAGTCAGAATCAAATTACATAACATAATCTTAGTCTGGTTTCTTATCAACATAACCTACTGAGATTAAACCCTTCCAAAATGGGGAAAGAAAATATTATGCACTTAATAATAAAATCTGGGCAGGAATAGACACAAGCTTATCCAAGAAGGGACACACCAAACTGAGGGAGTCATCCAGAAGAAAAAGAGGATCTCTCACCGTTCATCACTATTTATGAAGAGGTTCATCTTTGGTTTGGTCCCAAATAGTTTGTCTTTCCTTACAACTTTTGGGATTGGGATCTTATACAGAGGATGATCAAAAAGAGCAGACAATTTAGATTTTATTTTCTGGTTGGGTTTTTCTTTGGTTTCCTGTTGCTTGATGTTGGCATCTTGGAGAGCCACATTGCTGAGGCCATCCACATGTGACACATCTTCTGTTGAGTGAAATCCTTTTTCCAGGGAGCTGTTACTGCTACTAAAATCCTGAAGATTCCTCAGATTCAGCTTATTTTGAGCTGCTAATATAGAACTAGATGATAAATGGTTCACGGTACCTGTTACTTTAGATAGACACCTGCAGGACTTATAATCAGCAGAGGGCACAAAATCCATCACAATGTGTATCAGGACAACCATAAGGAGAAAAAGAAGGGTGGCTTTGAGTTTCTTCTGGAACAAAAAAGGCAAGTAGCGTACCATCTTCTTGGATTCTTAGATACAGCAAGATGCAATGGAATATCACAAATTCACATGAAAATAGGAAAAAGTCTCTCTTCTTTTTCAGTCCTAATTGTAAGAATGCAGCAGTAAGAATAGTACTTCCAGAACTGTAATCCAGGGAGAAATGCAGAAATTCAACCTTTTCCAGGTAAAATAAACAATTAAACAACTATAATCTCTTCATTTATGTTATAACCATCCTTACTTATGAAAAAAAATAAAGCTACTTCTGCTACAAAAATTTCCTTCACCAAGTAATCCTCAGCAAGAAAAGGGAGAAAGAGCAATTGTCTATGAATTTTAACTATGTTGATAAGAGAAGAGCAGGTGGAGTCAAGGTTAATTTGAAGAGGCCAAACTCCAAATCAATAGTAGCAGATTAGCCAATCCGTAGGTCTCTTCAAATCATAGTGTCATGTAACAGCAGTTGTTAAAACTGTGCTATTGCAACATGATAACTTGCACTGGAACTTTTTGGCTGAAATATCTTTTATTTAAAAAAAAATAAAAAATAGATGAAGCTTGGGCTATCAAATGGCTGATGTATAGGTAAAGATGTAGGCACATATGGTCATTTCACAAATATTCATTATGGAAACATGTCACTTTGTTCCCACAATGTAAAAATAAAACATTTTTTTCACTGTCACAGGACAAACAATTACCCTACTAGTTTATTTCGGCCTGTGCATCTATATAAACATAAGCAAGGCTGGTTTGCTAGTCATTGTTGATTGGACTAGGCTCTACAGATCAATGGTCTAACTATGGGTGTGCAAACTTTTGGCTTGCCTGGGCCATACTGAGTGAAGAGCCATATATTAAATATATAATATAGTAATGTGTATAAATCACATGTTAAAATTTTATGATCTTATGGGGCTACATTACTAGCTGTCCAAGGTTGCATGTGACCCTTGGGCTACAGGTTGGACACCCCAGGTCTATACAATATGTTAAATTCTTTATGACCTTTATAGATTCATTTATATGATATTTTTGATATGAAGCTTGTAAATGTGAGTCCTTAATCCCTCTGAATTTTATATTCAAGGTATGTAGAAAAACATTGACTTAATGAACCTTTCAGGGAGAGTTATCTTTTTAATTCAGAATATCCATTAGATAATTTGCATGAATTTATATCATTACTGCAAATGGCATTATTTGCAGCTGTAACATCTTTTTAATAAGCATATCCTCAAATTTAATGAGCATTAATCATTAAACGAGGGTGTTTGAATTAAAATTGTCTTCATCATATCTGAAATCCATTAAACTGAGCCCTATTAAATCAAGGTTTCACTGTATAACTTTTAAAAAATCCTATATGCTCTGTGAAAACATAATTGTATATATTAGCTCTGGTGTATGTCAATGAAAATTCAGTCATCCAAACCAAGGTGTCTAAAGTTTGAATCATGGAACTGGACCAAACTTTGTTAATTTGTGATATTTCATTGTCATCCAAGCAACTTTATCAGTCAGAGCAAAATTAGTTAGGCAGAGAACCAGAGAGCCATTGGAATGTACCAACTCTTGCCACACTAACTTCAGGAGTTTCTTCTCAAAATGGCTTGCAATATGTCAATGAAGACTCAATAATCGATGCCATCAGACCATGATTATGGGAAAGGAATCCAGGCCATCTCCTCTGCAGAATGAGCAGGACTACCCTGCAAACATGGAAGAGCTTTTGAAATAACAAATAGTACATGTTTTATCAAAGGTACTTCTTTTCTTCAAAAGATAACTGGAGTGTTTTTTTCCTTGAGGAGAAAAAAGAAAACTTTTAGCTTCTCATCCAAGAAGTTCATCAGTTCTGATGGTGGGGGTGGGGGTGGGGGAAATAGAAGGATAGGTTCTACTAGGATAGTGGGGAGGGATGACAGAATTGAATATCTTTGCAGTCATCTGATTGTTAGCATTCTCTGAGAGCTGTTGAGGCCACTTGGGGGTTTATCTGTGCCCTCAGGATCACCTGAAAAAGGGTGCAATTGATTGTGGAATCTTCCTGGAACTGCTGCAAGGGCTGCGTTGTAAAGTGGAGATAGATGGTGTCTTATTCCTCCCCCTCTATTGAGGGAAGGGTGCTCAGTTCTAATATAGATGGAATCTTTTACCCCTCTTTCAAGCCAAATAGCTTGTTTCTTTGCTGTTCACTACACAGGTGTTGCTTTGAAAGGTTTTAAACCAGTGGTTCTCAACCTTTTTAATGCCGTGGCCCCAACCAGTCGTAAGTCGAGGACTAAACCGGTTGTAAGTCGAGGACTAAACCGGTCATAAGTCGAGGACTAAACCGGTCGTAAGTCGAGGACTACCCAACCGGTCGTAAGTCGAGGACTTTCCCTGCCCGGGAGTGCCGCGCATGCGTGGTTCCACCCCCTGCACCAGCCGAGGCGTAGATGGCAAGCGGCAGAGACGGAGCAAGCCGATCACCAGCTGGCCCAGCCCAAGGGAGGTAAGGCATCCGCTGGAAAAGGAGAAAAAAATGGCGGACAAAAAAAATGGTGGACAAAAAAAATGGCGGACAGCCTTGCTTGGCGACTCCCATGAAATGGTCGATCGACCCCAAATGGGGTCCCGACCCACAGGTTGAGAACCACTGTTTTAAACTAAAAAATTATGTATATTACTGAATTATTGGTTAACCCAGACAACACCTATAATGGTTTTGATTTATTAGGAGATACTGTACTATCAATTAGATGATTGAACATGGTGGAAAACAGATAACTTTTAGAAAACAGAGCAATATTATAATCAAATAGATAAGATGTATAACCAGAATATTAGACTTTAGTATGAAAAGGGAAAAATGGAGAAGTTGAGATAAGGGAAACGTTTGGTCACCTAAATATAAAATACTTGGAAATCATAAATAATAGTGTTACTTTGAATATGGATGGGAAATTAAAGCCTGAAAAAAATGCAATAACAGGACATTGATTGTATACAAGGATTAAGTGCAAACGCAATTAAGATACGTATAAGCTAAAAATTATTGATAAATATAATAAAGATGTTTTTATTTAGTTGATAACAATAAGAATTGTACCAGACTAATATGAGATAACAGATATTAATGGAAAAAGAGAGGAAATATCTGATGTTGTAATATGAGATTTATACTAAAGATTTATGTACACTATTGAACTATTAATTAACCCAGTCATCACGTTGCTTTTTAAATATCCAGTTGTAAAATGAGAAAATCAATAAAATATTATATATATTAATAAAAAAGGTCTTCAGTGTGATACATTGTTAGACAGCTGCAGCAGGCTGTGATGGCATACTCAGAATGAGCTTCTCAAAGGATTTCCCTCAGAATGGCATCTATAGGATGGCTATTTGCTTATCAGTCTGAGAAGCAACACTACAGCAACCAAAAAGGAGTCACACAGAAAAAATGTATACCATGAGAAGGAATAGCAGAGTCTCCTCATGGCTCAAGTGGTATTTTTCCATTTGCTTCAGGCCTTTTTGGATCACCCATCATATAATACACTAAGTGACAAACACCCACATAACATCATAACATATGGCAGTTTGTGAGTTGCCTGCCAGCAACTGAGCTTCCAAATTAAGTGACAGTGTAGAACTTTTTATGCTTGTGTCAGACATTCTTACTAAGGCTCTACAGGAGATGAACATCCAACATGCAAGAAATATCATTTTATCTAGAAATGCTCAGCCAGTTTCTCAAAAGTAGGCCACTTACGTCATACAGGTGAGCATTCATAATGTCACATCTGCTTCCTTTGCCACACACAAAAAGACCCCAAGCTGCTGAGAGAATGATGAGCTGTCTGCTCACTCATGTCCCGTGGTGCAGCTGTTGCCTAGTAACTGTCTCCAGCTAACATTTTCAGTTGCCCCAGATTCTGAGAACACTATATTTCATATCAAGGCCACAGTAAGCAAAGTAAGTTCTTTTTCTCCCTGAAGCTTTTCTGGAGAAACCACTTCTTTTTTCTGTATTTGTACACAAAACCTGTTGGGAATAGAATTTTCTGCTCAGAAAAAGGGAGAATTGGTGACTGATAAACATGAGGCAGGGCCTGGGCATGGAACATTTAGGGGCCATTTATCCAAATTGTGTCAAATTTGAGAGTCCCACAAGGCTCAAGAGAACTTTACACATTAGTTGGGATCATATTTTACATTAAGTTAGCTATGGAGAACATTGTTATGGCTGTAGGCTGCCTTTTTTGTTATGTCAAGAGCTGTGTTGGGCAGAGCAATGATGTAAAGAGGGAAGCACCATTTCACACATGTGGGGGCAGGATTATCTCTTTTTCTCTAGATTTGCAGAGGTAGGCCTTTTCTGTATATTTTTTTCTAAATTCTTTTTAAGCCAGAATGGTTGGTTTACATATCACCCTAAAACAAAACAAATCATATTATAGGTTAGTGTGAGAAGTAAGCATTACATTCTAAGTCAGTAGAATGAACTACAATCAAGGCAACCTGTTCTTTTTACCTATATAAGAGCTCCCAGACTGTGTGGACCTGACATCTATAAATCCTAAATCCATAAGAGATGCATTTGATTTGTGAGTGGAAAAGTGTTCTACCCACATTATTTCAAATGCACATCTTATTTCACATAGTTCAGAACTTATATGTAGTACTGAAAGGAGATTCTTGGCTGAAATTTGCTTCAATATGGACCCTGAGGAAAGCAAGGCATTCATCTCACATACAGTCACTGCATCAGGCTCACTTAATTGCCGAGAACTGAGGCAGGCTGTAGCAATCTCTTAGGACGGCCAAATATTCAACCTGGATGGGATATGTGCCAAAGCAAATGCACTTATGAACCAATTAGGACTTGCTTGTGGCTTTCTTGCACAATCATGTTCAAAATGTCATCATCTCCTGCAACTCCAGGGTAAATGTCATGCATTGTGCACTTTATCATATGCTTAAGTACCCAAGGAATTATTTCTAGGTGAAAATGTACAGAAAAGCAG